TATTTCAAAATATGAAATGTTACTCATATTACATATATGTATGAGTACTTATATACTCATATGGTTGGGTTTGTAATCCTAATTCCAGTCTCTTAACTTCCTTAAGTTTTGGAAATATGGAGGAAGGAAAGTTACCTGGAAGCTAAAGTTAAGAATTTTCACCATCTCCCTTCTTTAGGTTTCCCAAATATTTATCAAAATAACAAAGCTTCCACTTTACAAAACCTTACACTTTCTCAAACACACCTTTTCTCCTTTCTTTAGTCAATAGGGTACCATAGGCCCATTGATAAAAAGCTGGTGTGTGGTCTTACCTAGCAAAATTATCCATTTGTCAAAAATTCATTCCAAGTACTGAATATGTTCATCCTTGCCTGTGCTTGTACTACTGTATTTTACTGATTAGGATCAGACCTTGACTAGTTTTTAGTAACTGCTGCATTTCCCTTCAATTTAAAATGACAGCTAAAGATGAAGATTTTGTAGGTGTTATTTTTCTTCGAAGGAGGAGAAAGGAAGTGCCCAATAATGGCTGCTTTGAATACCACTTTCCTGTTAAATATTGAGTTTCTTCCAGCTCTTGATTCACTGACTTGTGTCTGTTCTTTCTGTTTCATATACCTCAGCTAGAAAAGGCTATTCTTTACTTCCTTATTTTTATAAATTGCTGCTATAGTAGCTACGGGGCTTATAAATACTTATATCCATTTTTTAATGTATATGGCTGTATGCTGCCTTCTTTAATTGATTTTGCTAGCTAAGAAAATGTCAGCTAGATTAAATTCATTACCAAGTGGTGAAATTGCAGTTAATGTGGACCCTCCCCAGTTAATACTAAATATGATAGTTATTTGGTTCTGTAGGGGTGTTGACTTCTTCTATTTAAGTCCATCTATACTGGCTTCAACAACAGCGGTCTCTACTTTCTTAACCCTTTTGGGTTTGAATTTGTACAACCTCAAAGTAGATTTTAAGCTGTACTTGTATCCAGGAGTGTATACATCTGCGCACTGAAATCCCACCTGGCATAAACTGAAATGGACTGACAGTCTTTGCAGCTTTAGCAGACCTCCCTTTCATCAGAAAATATAAAGCATTTTCAATTAATTCAGTCTCCTGACATCCCCACTAAAGAGATGACTGTTGTCTGTGTTTGCCAGATAAAGCAACCTGAGCACTGAAAGAGTGTAGCTGACTTCTTGATAAAAACAGCCCCTGAAGTTAAGCAACAAGCTGAAATGCCAAGCCATGAACAGGCATATTAATACCTCCCTGACTTTTCTGAGCATCAACAGCCATGAAAAGAAAGCGCTCACTATGACCGGCCTTTATCTGGAAAACCTCTGCATTAGTGAATTAAAAAGTAACATTTAAAAACTGGTGGAAGGGTGGAAGTCCCATGAATGCCTTGAAAAGTATCCTCCTTCATTTGCTGAGCCAGATACTCCGTGTGGAGTTCAAAAGGGGGGGTGGAGGGGGTGGGGGTGGGGGGTGGAGGGGAGGAAGCCAGGCTGAATGACTGGAGAAACAGAAAAGGTGCAAAATCCCAGCCCAAACTTGGCATAAAAGTGAAAGTCTTGGAGCCCTGTGGGAACCAGACGCCGTCAAACTGGAAGGGACACCCAGAAACTTGTAACTCGTTTTTAAGCAAAACCAGACAAGGGAAAAAATTACCTCACAGAAACTGAACACTACACTCAGAAATACCTGTCAATGCCGCCGTGGGGACAGCAGGACTTCAGGAGAGGAATACAGTGACAGAACAGTGTGGCAGATGATTCTGATAACCGAAAATGTTAGGATGTCCATACAGACCCAGTGGTGTATGTTTAAATATGCAAATTTACAATTCTATGATTCTATGAGAAAGGACGCATATGACTATAAATGGTGATATATGGATTTCCATATACGTGTAGATACAGGTCTACAGCAGCCTGATAGATTTTACAGTTCCCAATTCCTTTTCCCCTCTCAGGTCGTACTGAGCAGGGTACTTCAGTTGAACAGCTACAGTCTAACAAGTCCAAGCAATCTGTTGAAGCAGGGGGGCTGTTTTCCAGTATGCTGACCTCCGATGAAAGAGGAAAGGGCTCAATCCCAGCCCAAACGCAAAGGACGAAATACCTCAGTGCAGTGTGTTTCCGCTGTAACTCGGGCTGCAGAAAATTAGCTCTTCTGTATCAGCTTTCTTAGAGTCAGAGACGCTCCTAATTTGAATAAACCCCAGGAGGATATCTGAATAAAGCCCAACAAAACAAGATAATCCGTAACCCTTCAAAGACGTACATTTTCTTTTCAACATTCTTACTGTGGTTTGGAGGTTACTTTAGGAGATTAATGAACCTAACTTACTCCTTTCTGTTTCACCAGTTTGTTTCTGCAGTGTTCTCTCTAAGACAACATCTAAAGGGTTCTGGGACCCATATAGAAATCTTCGGTCCCACACAGCACTGAGACACCCCGCAGCTCGTTGCGGCGAGGTTCCCTGGCCGGACCCAAGGAGGTCCGGGACAAGGAGCAATGATGGAGCCAGTTTGCAGGAGGCAGGGGGAAGCAATTCCACCTTTGCCTCCCCGACCAGAAGGGAGGGGAGATTTGCGGGCTGCGGGAAAGACAAGCACTGGGTCCCAAGAATTTGGCTGGTGGCTGCGGTGGTAACTTTAGTTTGAGGGATTACAGCTCTTCCCGCGCACACAGAGTGAATGAACAAGCTCCTGGGTTACACGCAGCTCTCCCAAGCCCTTGCACGGCCGCAGAAGCGCTGCAGGTCTTCGGGAAGCCTTTGCCCGACGGGACTCCCGACGGGGCAGTACCGGCCTCCCCTTCCACCGCCGCCGGGGCCCGGGAGCAGCGAGGTACGCAACACGGACAGAGGCCAGAGGCCAGGCGGCTGCTCGCCCGAGCCGAGATAGAAATGACCCCGAATAGGGAGGGAGCTGGATGAATCATTCAGTCGTTAGGGAGACCCTTAATCCAGGCTTTATTTCGAATCCAAAAGGAAAGTGCTCCCTTTCCCAGGGAAGCCACAGTTTTCCTGACCCCCACCCCGGGACCCTTCAATCCACAGGAAAGCTAAAAATGACAGCGAAAGCTTTTCTGCCTCTTAAACGCGAGGTTAGCAGAGTTTTGGAGGAAAAATACCGCAGTAGCTTTGACCTAAACGGCACCTGTCCTGCAGGAGTGTTTTAAATTATGGGACCCTTCCAGTGTATAAAATATCGTAAAATTAATTCTCTTAAACCCTATGCAGTACCTTTGTTATCTATCTATCTATCTATCTATCTATCTATCTATCTATCTATCTATCATCTATCATCTATTTATCTATCTCTGCCGTAGCACAGGAAAGGCAGAGCCCAAGGGAGCGAGCTGCCGGAACGGGAGGGGGCGCGGACGGCAGGATGCTTCTCGTTTGGTTTTGCCCTGAAAGCAGGGTTGCCCGGCCGGGCTCCTCTGCCCTCCTCTCCCCGCGGTGAGTGGCAAACCCCTTGCCGAGAGCAGTCCGTGGAAAGAGCAGCAGCGTGCAGCGGCCGCTTCGCTTCGTGCCGGAGCGCCTGGCTTCTCCGACACATTTTGGTTGTCTTCCTTGGTCTGTCGAGATCAACTCAAACATTGGGCCAAAAGTTACCCCGAAGAGAATGGGTGTTTAGGGCTAGCGGTGGTATTTCGATGCAGGCTCTGATCAGACTCACGCCCGTGTGGCCACATCCGGAGGTGGGCACAGCGGGAGCCGGTTCTTTTCTCTCTGCTTCTACCGGGGGTAGGAACTGAACACCCCCAGGCCCCTGAGCCGCCGGTGCCTGTCCCCTGCCTTTTCAGACACCCACCGCCACCGTGCTAGCACCCAAAGTGCGCAAGAGATGCGTCCCTCCCCGCTCCTCCTGCTCCCCTGCCCCGGCGGTCGCCGTCAACTGTCCACGATTTCTTTCAGTTGCCCCGATGCGGCGGGAGCGAGCGGGGCCGGCAGCGGAGCTGCTGCAGTCCGGCCCAGTCCTTCCTTCAGGCAACGAAATCCTGCCCGCCCGGGGGGCCTGGTTCGAGATTTAGCCGTGAGGAGGAGGCAGGTTTTTGCCGCGGTCTCTGCGAGAGGTGCTAGCGGCGAGCGGAGGGAGAGGGGCTGCGGATTGCCGCAAATCATTCGGGAAGGCTCTGTCCGCTCCGCAAAATCGCGCGGGCACCTACACCTTATTGAGAGCTGTCCCCTTACCCTCCGGGGCAAAAGGCTCCGGGTTACATTGCGCTGAGAGAAAGCGCCAAACGGATCTGGCCCTTAATTACAAATCTGCCTTCCTGGTGGGAGATGCCGAAAGGAAACGCGGTTGCGAGGAACAGACTGCCGAGTTCCTGAAAACTGAAAACGCGAACCAAGCCCGCAGCTTCCTACAAAAGTGTCCCCGATAAGGTGGAACGCGAACCCCCCCACCATAACGATGATGCCCGGGAAGCGGAGAGGGGGGAAAGGCGGCTGTTGGGCGCAACTGAGCCGCAAGCAGAATCGTTTGAACGGCGAGGGGGTGGCAGGAGCTAGTGCCACTTGCCCTGTCCCGGCACATCGCCGCCCTTCCTCTCTGTCATATGCCGGTGTTGGCATCAGCTCTGCTCTCCATTTTCCCTCTCGCTCCCGTCCCTCTCTCCCAGTCGCGATCCTCTGTCCCCTCCGTGCCCCTCCGAGCGGCTGCGCGTCCGGGGGGACGGTGCCACCTCGGCGAGATGTCTTTTTTTCGGGGGAAGGGAATTCGGTCCCTCTGCTGCGGCCACCGCGGCGTGTGCGGGCGGCTCCCCTCTCTTCGAGCAGAGCGGGGCAGGCCGGAGCCCCTCCGGTAGCCGGCCGCGGGTAGAGGGGCCGCAGAGGGAGGGCACACACAGAGTCACAGGTGACTTGTTCCAATTAGTAGCTGTCTAATTAAATTAGTGTCACACAGCCCAGCCAATGGGCCGGCAGGGGTGGAGGGCGGCAAGGAGACAGCCCGGCGCAAGCCACTCCCCGACGGCCCGAGAAGCCCGGCGCGCCGGTATAAATTGCCTCGGCGGAGCTCTGTCACGGTGTTGTGCGGCCGCGGGTCGGGGTTAGGGTCTGCGTCTGCACCGGGTCGTAGAGTGCTCTTCACCGGACTGCCCACCGAGGATGCAGCTGGGCGAGCCGCTGCTGGCGGCGGCAGCGGCGACCCTGCCGGGAGCTCCCTTCTACCCGCTGGAGAGCAGTGGGCGCGGCGGTGGGACTGGAGCTGGGACCGGGACAGGCGGTGCGTCTCGCGGGCCTCCCCGGCCGGGCTCACCACAACGACTCGACATTGACAAGACGCCCAAGAAGTTCGGAGCGGCCCCCACCATGCTGGGCGAGGCGGATGCGGGCGAGCCGCCCTTCGCCGCCCCGAAGCCGGACGGCCGCAAGGCCACCCCCTGTGGGGAGGAGGAGCTGCCCCCTGCCGCCGCTGGCCCCCGCTATCCCATGGACAGTCTCAGCCCCGAGCGCTACTACCTGCAGTCTCCCGGGCCTCCCGGGGCCGAGCTAGGGGGGCCCTGCGCCCTCTTTCCCTACCCGCCGGCGGCGCAGCACGGAGCCGTTTACCAGCCGCCCGGAGGACCGCGCTACCCCTACGGCTCGGTATTGTCTCCGGGCGGTTTCGCCGGCACCGTCTGCCCTCCCGGCGGCAGGGCGCAATTCGGCGGTGGCAGCGGGTATCAGTACGGGCAGCCGGCTGCCGGCACATCACTGTACGGGCCTTACCCGGCAGCGTCGGGCTCCTGCGGCGGGCTTGGGGCGCTAGGGGTGCCGGCCGCCGGCCCCGGGCTGCGGGCGCAGGTTTTCCTCTGCAACCGCCCCCTTTGGCTTAAGTTCCACCGGCACCAGACGGAGATGATCATCACCAAGCAGGGCCGGTAAGTGCTCAGCGGGTGGGTCGAAACGGGGGGGGGGTGGCTGGGGATCTGTGCTGGGGAGCGCTTGCCCGGTCCCTTGTGGAGGAGATGCCTACGGCCCGAGGATGCCTGAGGGTCAGCTGGGCTTTGTGCTGATCTCCAAGGTGCCGGTATGGCCGGGGCATGACGCCGCCGCCGCCTGCAGCTGCGTTCAAAGCTTGCGCCCCTTCCCCTGCCTGCCTCACATGCCGTGTGCTTTTCCTCTCCTCTCCAGGAGGATGTTTCCTTTCCTGAGCTTTAATATCACCGGCCTCAACCCCACGGCCCACTACAACGTCTTTGTGGAGGTGGTGTTGGCGGACCCCAACCACTGGCGTTTCCAGGGAGGCAAGTGGGTTACCTGCGGCAAAGCCGACAACAACATGCAAGGTAGGCGCTGGCTCTTCACTGGTGAGCTTCACTGAAAGGGCTCCCGCCCCCCTCTGTAGGGTTTTCCCCATCCCGGTATCCTGCTGCGGGAAGAGCTGTGGTTGTAAAGGCTCCGTGCCGCTGGGGGTGAGGCTGTGCGGGAGAAGGGGCATAGGAGGACCTGAGGTTCTACCGCCCAGGCGCTCAGAACAGCGGCTGTGCCCGGCAGGAGCTTTACAGGCTTCACTTCTTTTCCCCAGGCAACAAGGTGTACGTGCACCCCGAGTCGCCCAACACCGGGGCTCACTGGATGAGACAGGAGATCTCTTTTGGGAAGCTGAAGCTAACGAACAACAAAGGTGCTAACAACAACAACGCACAGGTATATGGGCTGCAGGAGGGAGACAGGCTGGAGGGGATCTTGGCGATTCTTGGGGCTCCCTGCCTTTAGGGGGCTTTACAGTATTTAATCGGGTTGCTAGATCGCTGCTCTTGTGACTTGTACCCGTCTTGAAATGGATCCTACATCTTGCTTTTTCTGCTTCTTAGGACAATTAGAATGTTCAGAAATAGATGTGTGAATGTGTTTGGTTTTAGCCAATACATCTATCTCTGGAATTGCTCAAAAAGTGGAGTGTTCTTGATGATTCTTGATTTGCCTCATTCACAGGTTTTAGCATATTAGTAACCTAGTTAAATGAGGCTAAAAGCTGTGAATAATCTCCTGGTAACAGTTAAAATTACTCAATTAACAATTCCGAAGTCGTAGGAAAAAAATGTTAGACTCTAAAATCTTAGACCTACTTTATCTAAAGATCTTGTTTCTTCCGTGGTTCCTTTTAGATGATAGTACTGCAATCTCTACACAAGTACCAGCCTCGGCTTCACATTGTGGAAGTGACTGAAGATGGTGTTGAAGATGTGAATGATTCCTCAAAGACTCAAACATTTATTTTTCCTGAAACACAGTTCATAGCAGTTACAGCATATCAAAACACTGATGTAAGCACGGGTATATAAAATGACAATTAAGAATGCATTTGTCTTGAGTTCAACATCTTGTCTTACTATATTCTGCTTTCACTTTTAGATTACCCAGCTCAAAATCGACCATAATCCCTTTGCAAAAGGCTTCAGAGACAACTATGACTCGTAAGTATATTTTTGTCTTCTCTTGCAATTGCTTCTGTCTGTAAGGCATGATTCTGGCCCGAAATGCATGAGGAAGAGTTTTTCTTTAGAAGCTATTTGAGTTACGAGTAATAATACTACTTCTGGCAGCTTTGCTAGCTTATCTGTTGTTTTCAAAGATGTTAAATGTCTAAACCAATAGCCTGTTTAAATAGTTTCTTATATTATCTTGATGACCTGTCTTCTGGCAGGCTTCTGAATTTTGCTAGGGAACTTGGCCTGCAGATTTGCAGTAGTGTACCATGTATCTTCATAGCTTTTCCAAATTGTTGGTAGTGGAGTTGCTTGATGCTCACTTCCTAGCATCAAATGGCCTTTGGAAACCTGGATCTGTACATCTACAAGTACTGTTTCTGGGAGGAAGCTGCCGCACCTCATTTAAAATGTGCTGGCTTGTGTATGCTTGTAGCAGTAATACTAGAAATCTTATATTGGTCTAGGAAAACCAAACAACTAAATTGGATAGCCAATTGTTCATAAAATGAACAGCCATCCAGACAAATGTAGTTGTAGTAATTCATTTCCTGCTTGTGCTTGCATTTTGCTGTCATACTGGAATCATAGAGAACAATGCTCAGTGTTTCTCTTTTATGTTGTAGCATGTACACAGCTTCAGAAAATGACAGATTAACTCCGTCTCCCACGGATTCTCCTAGATCCCACCAGATTGTCCCTGGTGCCCGGTACAGTGTGCAACCCTTCTTCCAAGAACAGTTTGTCAACAACCTGCCCCCAGCCAGGTTTTACAATGGTGAGAGAACGGTCCCTCAGGCAAATGGCTTGCTCTCCCCCCAGCAGAATGAAGAGGTGGCCAGCCCTCAGCGGTGGTTTGTTACACCCGTACAGCAGCCCAGTGCCAACAAGTTGGACATGAACTCGTATGAAACAGAGTATTCTTCTAGCACCTTGCTCCCTTACAGCATTAAGTCCCTTCCCCTTCAGACATCCCATGCTTTGGGATACTACCCTGACCCGACATTTCCATCCATGGCAGGCTGGGGGAGTAGGGGATCTTACCAGCGAAAAATGACAACAGGATTATCCTGGACCTCAAGAACAAGTCCTCCAGGCTTCTCTGAAGACCAGCTTTCCAAGGAGAAGGTAAAAGAAGAACTCGGCTCATCTTGGATAGAGACTCCGCCTTCCATAAAGTCTCTAGATTCAAATGATTCTGGAGTCTACACTGGTGCTTGTAAGAGAAGGCGACTCTCCCCTAGCACTTCCAGCAATGAAAATTCCCCGACTATGAAATGTGAGGACATTAATGCTGAGGACTATAACAAAGACACTTCAAAAGGCATGGGCTACTACGCATTCTATACTAGTTCTTAAAGCATCCTTTTATTCCAGTTGGCCAAGTTGGGGGGTTTTTGTTTGTGTTTTTTGTGTGTTTTTTTTGTTTGTTGTTTTTCAGGGTGGCCTTGGGTTTGTTTTTCTTTTGCATTACGATGGCAGAAAAGACTCTTGCCTTCCACCTTGAATTGTGTGCAATTCTAAAGAAGGTGCCAAAGCTTTTTGATTTATTGCAGGTAACAAAGTAGGGAAAGAGTGACCTATGGTAGAATTCTTCCCCTGTTTTAGAAGAAACCACATGCAGAAGCTGTAAGCAGGAGCCTAGATTTTTACTATGTGGTTTATTTATTGGAGACACTAAAGTGTACTGTTTGGCTCAGCTCAGAGGCCCGATCAAATCTATGCACTCCTGAGTGAGGAAATGGGGGGGTAGTGTCCCACATTTAATTTTCTTCCCTGCCTGTCCCTCTCATAAAAGGGGGCTGAGTGCAGGGAACTGCACAAATGCTATGTTCTGCTTTAGACCAAGCTGTCTTCTTCAATCCCTGTCTGCAGCACAGTTGGCTGAGCTGGAACTTAGCTCAGCAAAGGCTTGCTTTGGCAGAAGGTGACCAAAATAAGGCTTGCTTGCCAGGCAGGATTTTTACTTAAAAGTCTTGTTGCTAACGATGGGGTTACAATGAAAGAATCTGACTTTTTCCTTAGTTTAGAACTTTCATTAAGAAAAAAGCCTCCATCCCCAAAGCCTAACCTTTATTGAGGTGGCCAAAAATAGTGTACAGTTGTTTTGTCTAGGTACACTGTAGAATATTGTGGAATAATGTATAAATAGTTGCTCTATAGCTGTTTAGTCAGAAGGGCCTCCAGTGGTGCTTTGAAGTTCAAAATGCATTTTTTTTTTTGTTAATCAAACCTAGCTATGAAGTGTTGCAAAGAACATGGAGATTTCTATTTATGTGTCTGTAAAGTGACTTTTTCAGCTGCCTTGTACAAAACTGGAAGTGATGTAACTTAACCTACTCTTCTTGCATATAGCTTCAGCTGGTTAAAACTGATCCACTCTAGAGCACTGGCACACAAACTTCCCTCAGCAAAGCATCCTCCTGTTTTCCTTTTCTACGTATATAGTAGTAATTTTTAATAAATGTGGTTGGTGCCAGGGATAGCAGTGAAGGTGACTGCCTGCTTCTTCTTTGCTTCTACTGGGTGTCCCAGCTGGGGGAAGGTGGGAGCATAGTGCCTGATTTGTCTCTAAATCCTAGCCATCCCTTGCAACGTTCTTCTTATTGTGGTCTGAGCTAGTTCTGCTGTATATCTTCCCCCTTAAGCTTTGAGCTCCCAAGTTCGTTGGAAGTCCATCCGTGCCTGTTTTCCCCTGCCACCTCGCTGCCTTGATAGGGTGTGGGTGAGGTGTGAGCTCAACCCTCGCCCCGGGGAGAGCCCTGTGAGCTCTGCTTTCCTCACCCGGCTACAGCGGGGCCGGCCCCACCGTTTCCAGGAACCGGGTCAGAAATGCCCCTGCCAGCTTATCTTGGGGGAAAAGCCCCTCCCGGCAGAGCGATTGAATGCGGGCTCCCGAGGCAGCGGGACCTTTCGTGAGGATATGCAGGCAGTAAAGGGATTAAACTGTTAGCGATGCGCGGCTGCAAACAAAATAAACCAGGGGCTCAGACCGGGGCCCTCCCGGGAGGAGATAACGCGATCAGGAGGCGCTGGCGGGGCCCCCGGAGGCTTTTCCCCATCTCCGGGGCGGAGAGCGGTGCATTTCCGAGGAGCTTTCGATTACTTCTTCGCTTCTGGGTACGAGACTCCGGCTATGCAAGCGACACAAGCTGGTGTCCCGGCAGCTTTCCCACTGGCCCAAGAGCCACGTCGATGGGCGGGTAGAAGGGGATTCGCGATGATTTTTAAGCGACTACAGGGACGGGATATTTGTTTCCTATAATGGGATATCCCCTCCCTCTACAGCCCCCTGGCAAGGCGGGTGTCCTCCTTTTCCAGCTGCGGGCTGAGGTGGCACGCCGGCAGCAAACACAGCTCCTGGGAGCACAATTCTGCTGCGGTGTGTTATTAAAAGCTGTATATTTTTGCACCGCGCGGTTAAAAAAGGAACTTAATACTTGTGAAAAGTCCTCACACTGTTTAATAGAAACGTAAATGCCTGGCTGGCCCCAATTAACACCTTGTGATTATAATGCATTCCTAAAATGGGGTGTCAGACGCCAAATTGTGAATCGAGGTATCTAATTAATCTTCGTAGGATGACACTGATAAACAACTCTATATTTAAATAAAGATCAAGGATCTGAATGCTTCTTATTTGTTTACATTAACGGAAGATAAAGTTAACTACCCTCGCACTTCGCTTCATAATACGATTTGCCGACCCAAACAGCAGGCTCTGGGTGGAGAACCCCGCCTCCCCTCGGCGGGCTTTTTATCGTGGGTTTGGAGGGATAGGGGACCCAAAGGTGACTGCCCCTTCCTCCACAGCTGCGGCACCAGCGGGCGAGTGCCGGGAAACCGTGTGAGGCAACGCGCCCGCAGGCTTCATCCTGCCCTTTCAGTAGCTCTCGTAAGATGTGTGGGGCTTTGCACAACAGCTGGAAGGGGACGGCTGAAAAAAGGAGTCTACGAGAGAAAACACATACACAAACAAACAGAAATCGTTATTTACACCATTGTGGTGCTGTGCAGCGACAGGTGAACTGTAAACTCGCCCAGTGAGGCTGCATAAACCTACTTTAAGGAAAATCCGGACCCCGCTTCGGCTCCGCTTCGTGCGGGCAGAGGTGCCGCCGGGTCTGTCCACCCCGGGGCCTCCGCTCCTCCTTTCACTCACAGCGGAGCCCGTGAAACGGGGTGACACGGGTGTAACACTCTGAGGCCGTTCCGCGACTTCGCAGTTCTCGGGAGTATTTCGCCATTGATCCGAGAAGCGGTTCGGTGCTCTGCGTGGAGAGCTCTTGTTTGGTTTTAATAATTGGGAGTCCGGCGGAGCAATAAAGGCAGCAGAGATGTGGGACTGAGACCATTCCTCACCAAGGACTGGGGTTTTGGGGCCGTTTTTCGTTAAAGCAGACCTGGCACTTCACCGCCTTTCCCGCCTGTCCTCTTTGCAGCGGCACATAGGGATCAACCGTCTGAGAGGTTTCTTTTTCCCCCAACGAAACTTCGTCCCTTGCTGCTTGCCTCAAACTGTATCACCGGTGCTTCACACCTGGGAGGGAAAACGAAATGACCCCGAAACACTGCTTCTTCCGACAGCATCATCCCAACCCCCTCAGGAGAAGGGGCTCCTTCCCCGGCGCTGCAGACTCAGCGCTCCGGGGAGGAAGGAGCAGGTATTTTCCGAGTGTGTTTTCGAGTAACGCTGATGGGGTTTTACTTTCGGTCCTAATTTTCTGCTACCACCTTCCTCAACGCCACCTTTTCACCACATGCTCGTTTGTTTCCACCTCCCATTTAGGGAAGCGCGGCGCTAACGGGGGGGAAGGACGGGGGGTGTTCCCTGTGAACGGTTATTTTTACAGCGCCCCTCAGCCACCACCCTGCCCTTGGGGTCTCCTTACCGCGGAAAACGCCCCCAATAGCTCCTGCAGTTCCGCTATACCTCAGAAATGTCTCTTCCCGCCGGGATTATTGGCTAAGGGGCTGTGGGGTACCGCCTCTGGGAAGAAAATGGAGTGAGGGGGTTGAGACAGGGAGATGAGGAGCTTCGGCAGTTCCCTCACACCCGTCCACCTCATAGAATTGGGGTTTGCTGCCACCGGTGCATTATTGTTGTTATTATTATTTATTATTCGCACACCTTTTTGTATATACAAGCCCAATTCCACATCCTCTTGAGGCCTCCACAGCCCACTCCTCCCTTTCTAAAAATCTCCGTAGACCTGTTCATAATAATCTGAGTATGACTAATATAAATATTAATCTACTCCTTATTAGAAGGGGTTTAATGCTTGCTGGATATCACAAATATGTAATCCAAGGGAGAATGACATTAGGCTGAAAGTGCAGAGTACAAAATATGATTTGAATAAAATGATAAGGTGGCATCTTACATTTCCTTTAGGGAGTACTATACTCTGAGCTGTCACAACCGATTGTGTAAATAGACAAGACTGAGGGATGTGATCCTAATCATATTGATGAAACATTCATCTGAAAGACAGAATGCAACCAGAAGGAACTCACTAGGAATACAATTAAATCCTAATCTGAGGAGGAAGAATCCTCTGCAGGCCTTCCTCTAACCTGCCATCCTCTCCCCCATTTTCATTTGGAAGTCCCATAAAATGCAGGAGGAGAGGAAGAAATAAAGGAGAGATGGAGTGCTGGGTGGTTTGCCTGCTTGAAGAACGACATTAACACAGGGAGTGCCGGGTGAGAAGGAGGTAAATCTGCTTCCTGACCTTGCACATAATAAAAAAGAGAGGCCTAACTTTGCTCACAGGGGTAATTACCTGCCTGCAGAGGGTTTCCACCTGTGAGTGGTGTTGATCAGGTGCAGGAGACTGACCATCAGCTCAGTCCCAGGCTTGTGAGCAAAATTTAGTCTTCTGTCTTTTGTGTGTCATTCAGTTTACATCTGCAACAGGGAGCTGATTTCTTGTGCTGAGAATATTTATTAGCAAAGGACTTCTTTTTCACCACCCCACTCCCCTAGCTACTTCTACAGTGACACTAACCTTTTTTGAGCATTGTCTCTCAAAAGATAGCCTGAGAAGACAGTTAGGACAAGGCACCCGTTATGGTTCGTGTAACAGTACTAAAACCAGGCTGACTGCTTTTCATCACTTATTGCTTTTGGGGAAGGCATCAAACAGGTGCATTTTCCTAATATGCCACCTTTTTGGCTTATACAGTGACTAAAATGATTCTAGTTATGAATACTTGAATGAGCATAATGATGTTTAAAGCTTAAAAGCAGCCTGTCTTTTTCATCCTGTCACTGTTAAAAGTTAGGCTTCCTTTCAGTGTTTAAGACCCAATAGCTTTTTCAAAGTAGCCAGTCATTTATCAGCAAGCTCAGGCAAAGAGCAAGGTTAGTTCCTTCTGCC